ACCGCTATTAACTCCCCAAAAAATTCTCTTCTATCGACACGTATGAGAACCGTCCTGTCACGTCCGACTTTAAAAACCGCTCACCAGTCAAAACTACCCCCCACTACCAGAAACTGCATTTTACCCGACCTATAGGATAACTACTTTTAATACCTAACCTTCTTATGCCCGACCCTTGGAATTTGTCCCGACTAGGTCCGACTTCTCTATCCGAACTATTTGGTCCCGACCAGGTCCAATCTTATCACCCGTCCGACTTTCTTAAATCCGACCCTCGAACTTTGTCCTGACTAGGTCCGACTTTGACGTCCGAACTATTTGGTCCCGACCAGGTCCAATCTCCTCATCCGTCCGACCTTGGGGATTTACCCGATCACGTTTGATCAGACTCGAAACTCATCCGACCCGGTTACTGCAATCATATTTGGACTTTCAAAAAGCCCATTGGACGTTTCGAATGACCTAATCTTGGCAGGCCCATTTCCTAAAAACCTATCCATTATTTTGTGCTCAACAACTTGCCCCCTCCCGCCGAAACGTCACTCCTCGAACTACGGAAGACGTGACGTTTTAGGGTTACAGTGTGATCATCACACTGCGTTGCGTCAAATCAAAAGGGTTTATGTTAAACCCCAACTTCATCTTCTCAAACTTACACATTCACAATTCTAAAAACCTTTCTGCTCTCGTATAGCTCCCTCCTTCGTTTTTCTTTCTATCTTTTCTCATCCTCGCGTAAATGGCTAACCAATACGTTCCTGCACTCCCTTTCGACGGAACTGAACCCTCAATACCCCTTGTATCTTCCAAAGTTCTTACCCCTACAATCCGCCCTTACTGCACTACCACTGCGGATGCTGAGCGTATGAGCTCAGTCATTGTTCAAGTTTCTCCTATTATCGTCAACAATGAAGCGTTCAAACCGGAACGCCTTCTGGATAGCATCAAGACTCACTTGACCGATCCAAAAGATGCTTACCGGAAATGGTATGCGAGGCTCCTTCCTCATTTTGAAAACCAATGGAAAACCCAAGGGATCGATAAAGCTATCCTCCTTTCGACGCAACCTCTCTACCTCCACGATAAAGTTCTGATGGCCATGGCGGCTTTTTGGCATTCGCAAACAGGTGCCTTTTTCCTCCCTTCAGGTCCAATGGGTCCAACCCTAATGGATGTAGCAGTGATCGCGCATTTGCCGATCACAGGAGAGGACCCCGTTCTGGTTTCTCTCGGAAATCAAGAACTTCCCCCCAACCATCAAGGTTGGGCCCTGGCCAAACTGCCTGAAAGAGAAAGAGGATGGACATACTTTGTCAATAAATATCAGGGTAAGGAGGATATCCCTGTTTCCGAGTTGGAACACACTGCTTTTCTCCTCTTTTGGCTCTGTAGGTATATCTTCTTCCTTTTGATTTCGTTTGTATGCACAAAGTTTGAATGTTTGAGCTTACATTCCTTTCTTCTTTTCTTTTACAGATATATCATTATTTCCCCTTCTAAACTTGTCCTTTCAACTCATATTGACCTAGCCATTCATTTGGCATGTGGTCATTTCTCTTCTTTAGGTACCTTATTTTAGCCAACCTCTTTGAAGGTTTAACCCGAGTAAGTTCCCGTCTTATGGATAATAAAAAGGCAAACACTGCAGCCTCAGGACCATTTTGGTTCCTGGAACTGTGGTCCAATCTATACTTCCCCTCTGCATTTTTTGGTTGCCTCCCAATTTCTCTCAATCCTTACAGGTCTATTGGCTATGCCTTAGCCAGATTAACCCCGAACTCTTCTTGTCTAAAATCCTCTGATTCTATAATAACCCAAATTTTGACCGAAGATCGGAACAATTCCCGTTTTTTTGTATATACAACCTTAATGCAATATTCGACCGATCTTTTCTTCCTTTATCCTGACGCAACCTATCCTTTAACTCGCCCAGATCCTATCCCTCACCCGACCTACATTTTTTCTTGGGACGCCACGATGAAGCCCCGATCTCTTTTTTCTAGTAGGAGGTCGGATAAGAAGAATCGTAGATCATTTTTTACTTACAATTACCAACCTCAATTTTTGTCGAGGCAATTTGGTTGCTGCCAGGGCATACCAGGACCATTAGCCAGTCCTCACCTCATGTTTCAAAGCCCCGAGGGTCTGGTAATTCCCGAACTCATCCCAACCTATATTTCTCAACTCACCAGCTACATCACCTCGAATTCATATCTCCCTTTCTGCCCAAAACCTTCGACAACAGAAAATTTTCCCGCCTGGTGGTCGGCCACCTGGTCTTTACTTGCCCCTTCGACTGACCAACTGGTCGGGAGGCTTGCTCCACCCCCAGCTCTGGCTCTTGGCTCCCCCGACTGGCAGTCAGAGGAAGGAAAAGGCAAGCACCTGTGGCAGGTGGGTCGGGAGCAAAAAGACAAAAAGCAAAGGCCACTCCTGCTATCGATAGGCAGGCCATCGAGGAATATTTGGCTTCTCTGCCAGTAGATACCAGTGGGATGCCAAAGTATTTAAGGCAACAATTTGGTAAGTTTTGTTCCTTTCCCTATGTTATTTTCATACGGCCCCTTTCTAACTCCAATATGTCTATTTCAGAAGATCCTTCAATGCTCCCGACCACTGGCCCAACCACGTCTTAACCGACCGATCAACAATCACCCGAGGCACAACTTCCCATTAATTTATCTTCGTCTTGATCAACTGCCGTCCCGACCATAGAACAACCATCTGTGGTCCGGACCACAGAACGACTAGCCATAGTCCCAATCACCACACAACCGACCCCCAGACAATCAGAGGTAAAAGATAGTTTCCGACATTCCTTAGACCAACAAAATATTAATTTTAAACAATAACTTCAAACCTTTTATTGTAGGCACACCGACCAGGCGAATCGATGGGCAGGCTACCTCCTCCCCCAGCGTCGGATATGGTTGCGGTGATGCCCGACCAACCTGTTGTCCTCCCCGACCAAGTTGCAGAACCTCAACAAGTAAGCGCTAAACCTTCTTTCAACATCGTCCTTTTGATAAAACTCCTGATGCCTAAAACCTATTTGGTCCAGGCACCTATTGAAGATATGGTATTACCCGACCCCGACCAGGTCGTGGCTTTACCCGACCCGCTTGTTCAGCAAGTTGATGAGGTTCCTCTTGTTGGTCCCGAACCAGTCCAACCCGAACCAGTCCAACCACCCCACGATGTAGAGGAAATTTCCTCCTCAAAATCGGGTGAAGCTTCCGTTAATTTTGCCCCGCTGGATCCGGTTGGTACCCTTTCTCATCCATTTTTTGATTTAGTTTTCGCCCATCCAACGGTGCTGAAAACTTTTGTCTTCTGTTCAGGGTATGGATTTAGCAGCCGCCGAACAACTTCCACCAGGGGATGAATCAGTTGCTGGTCCAATTATCCGACCAGTCAACCCCTCAATTTTCCAACTTATGGCCCCTTCTGAGGCTACAGCTGCCCTGAATCAAGTAACCTTCCGACCTTATCTCTCAAAAATTTTGCCATGTCTTTTAGCTTGCTAATCTTATTCTGGTTCAGGCTTCTCAGGAGATGAACATTTTGACCCGAATAGACCTCCCGACTCCCGTCAGAACCATTGTGGAACGATGCGCCAATTTGGATTTTGCTCACTTAGAACTGGCTGACCTTTCGCCGCTAGTCCAAGTCGCAATAACCCTATTGGTTCAACCTGCCCTGGAGTCGGGAGCTTCACCAGTTCTCGATCGGATGATGGCCAGGATCACTAAACTTCAAGCTGAACTTCCTCTGATCCGACCCCCATTATCCGAAGCGACCTCCTCCCGTTCGGCAGCAGATCCTAATAATATTGAAGCAGATTTGAAGAAGGCCGACCAAGATCTCAGCGTGGCTAGGGCCCGACTGGACGAGCTCCGGCAGGAGAGACATACATTAGCTACTGAAATCTCCCAAAAGACTGAAGAACTACGACGACTTCAAGAACGATTGGAAGCTATAGATGATAGCATACATGAGGGAAGTCGTCTGGTTGAAACACATTGCCTTAACCAAGCCAGTCTTTGCGAACAACTTCAGGCAGCTATTCAAACGAGACTCGTCCAGAGACACCAAAAAGCATACCAACGTCGTCGGGCCATCAAGTCAGAACTCAAATGGACCGATCTAAAAACTGCTTTACGGGCGCTTCTCTCCATGTAATTCAAATATATTGTACATTGATTCGGTTTTAACAAGTATTAATTCCTATTTCTAGAAAATAGATCCTATCTTTCCTGCGTTTTTTACTGAGTCTAACAAGCAAACACAGATCCGTATTTATTGCCTATTACTGAATCACCTAACTTAGAAACCAGAATACTTATATAAACTCCGTACCTCCAACTCCAAAAATATCACCATTACTTTTCATGCAATATGGTTTCTCCTCGCCTCCGTGTTCCTCTCTCAAACTGGGAAGGTGCTCTCCAACCATTCTTAGTGGGAAAGCACCCCATAGGCCACCACGCTGAAGATATGATACAGGTTCTGAAACAACTGGATTTCAAATTCAGATTCTCCGGCAGAGGTAGGAGAACCATTCATCGTACCATCTGACTGATGGAGCATATATCTACCAGCTACGAACCTTATACCGACATACTCACGTATATCGGATCTCGACCATCATCTAGACATGATAAACCATCATGTAACCTCCATTCTCCCAGACCTTAGTTGGAACAACGATTTTCAACCACAAAGATCAACGCTCTCCAGACTGAGTGTCCTCGCTGAACGAGAGATTCAGTCTTTGCAGGACATGAAGTCCCGAACTGAGCAAAATCTTCAATACATGCAAGACAAATGGGATCGCTACCGCTTGGATTTGGATGATCTTCTGGATGAAGAACCTGAAATGGTCTCGACCTCGGCAGTCTGGGATGACACCATTAATCTTTCCGATGATTAGAGAACCCTTTTTACCAATGGGTTCGAACCCTTTAAAGGGTCCTATGATTTTTTCTTTTTCCAAATAATCAATGAAAAAGTTCCGAAAAGGCAAGGTAATACCTTTTTAGATACTTAGCATTAATATTCTCATGTACCGTTTTTCCCTCTTGATTTATAATAATAAAGGCTCCATTTCCAATTACCTTATGAATGATGAAAGGACCTTCCCAGTTGGGAGACCACTTTCCCAATTGATCTACTTTCTTATAGGTCAGCAAAATTGTCTTCCAGACCAGATCGCCTTCTGCAAAGAGCTTTGGGACCACCATTTTTCCGTAATATTTTGCCCTAATCTCACTCTGCTTAATTACTTGGTCCAATGCGTTCAATCGATCTGTATCTAACTCTTCCAATTGTTTCCACATCTTTTGTAAATACATCTCATCAACATAGGCTGTTGTACTGGTCACCCTGGGTGAAGGCACGACAAATTCTGCAGGTAATACAGCATCTTGCCCGAATGTTAATTGGTATGGAGAGAATCCAGTAGAAGTACTTCTACTGTTTCGATGAGCCCACAATGCTTGAAAGAGCAGAGTATGCCATTTCCTTGGATTCTCCTCCACCATTTTCCGGATAACGCCAATAATAATTTTATTTGCTGCTTCGGCCAATCCATTCGCCTGTGGATAATGAAGAATGGTGTAATTTGACATTGTATTCGGCCAAAAACTCAATAAACTTTTCCCCAGTAAACATCAACCCTTGATCGGTTGTGAGAGTGTGAGGAATTCCAAATCGATAGATGATATGATTGAGTACAAATTCGATCACTTCTTTCTGCGTCGCATTCTTCAAGGGAACTGCTTTTACCCATTTGGTAAAATAATCAGTCGTCACCAAAATAAAAGAATGTTGTTTCGACGAGGCCGGATGAATCTTTCCAATTACATCCGATGCCCAAGCTTTGAATGGCCAAGGTTTAACCATTGTCTGCAAATCCACTGTTGGCAAATGATGTAAAGGACCATGCTTCTCGCACTCTTGACATCCCTTGGCAAATCTGATACAATCATCAAAAATCTTCGGCCAATAGAATCCCATACGATGAATGGCCCATCGCATATTTAAACCTGCCCGATGCGCACCACACACTCCTCCATGGACCTCCTCCATTATTTTAATAGTTTCCTCAGGTCCCAAACACCTCAACAAAACCCCTTCAAAGGTTCTTTTATATAAAGTCCCATTAATTAGCTGAAAACGCAAATCCTTTAAGCGAACACGAACAAGAGCAGTAGAATTTGGAGATTCCAAATATTCCATAATCTCTGTTCTCCAATCAGTCCCAGAATCGAGACTGCCAATCAACTGTTGACAAGCGCTCTGAGCCAGATTATCAGCCAACTGATTTTCCGCTCTTGGTACATGCTCAAAAACTACTTCCCCGATTCTATATAACAAGTGTAGCACTACATCTCGGTATCTACGCAAATGGGGAAAATTACACGCGTACCGTTTCAATACTTGGTTGATAACAAGTTGAGAATCCCCATAGATTAACACAGACTGCACTCCCTTAGCGATAAGTACTTCTAGACCCAAAATCAGTGCTTCATATTCTGCGGAGTTATGTGTCATATTTTCCATTTGAAGCTGCAAATTAATTTTGCCGCCTCCTGGTCCTTCTAGTATCACTCCCGCTCCCGACTTTCCTTTCGAACGAGAACCATCAAAAAACATTTTCCAAGGACTGGTGCCAATATATGGCATTATTTTGTTTTCTGATGATCCATCGCTTGTAAACTCAACCAACAAATCAGCCACAACTTGTCCTTTCACAGCCTTGAAAGGTCGGTGGCGTAGTGCAAAAGGAGCCAGCTTAATAGCCCATTTCATTAATCTACCTTGCATGGTTGGTCTGTGCAACATTAGTCTGACCAAATCCATTTTAGAAACCACTTCGGTTTCTCTTGGCAGAATATAATGTTCCAACCGAGTGCAAGCAAAGACCAAAGAATAACACATTTTTTCGGGCATACTGTAATTCAACTCAGGTCCTGCTAAAGTTTTGCTTAGATAATAAATGACTCTTTCCTTACCATCTTCCCATTCTTGTACCAAGAGACTGCTTACCACATCAAAACTGTTCGCCAAATATAAGCGAAGAGTTCGGTCGCCTCTTGGAGGGACCAACACAGGCGGGTTAACCAATGCCTCCTTGATTTCCTCCAATGCCTTATGTTGGTCCCGACCCCAAGAAAAAATCGGTAGCCTTGTTCCGTAATAATTTCGTGATAGGTTTTAATTTCCCCGCAGCGTTTGATATAAAACGCCTTAGGTAATTTACCTTTCCCAAAAAACTTTGTACTTCTTTGACCAACTGAGGCGATCGCATCGTCAGAACAGCTTTGGCTTTGTTCACGTCAATCTCTATTCCCTTTTCATGTACTAAGAACCCCAAGAAATTCCCCGCCGAAACTCCAAAGGCACATTTCGTTGGGTTCATTTTCAGGTTGTACTGCTTTATCCGAATAAAAGCATTTTTTAAATAAACCAAATGTGAATCAAAGTCGGTAGACTTAATGATCACATCATCAACATATACCTCAATTGACCGCCCAATAAGATCATGAAAAATAGTGTTCATAGCCCGTTGGTAGGTCGCCCCTGCATTCTTTAAACCGAATGGCTTAACTGTCCATTCATAAATTCCCAACGCTCTTGGGCACCTAAATGCAGTTTTGGGTATATCTTCTTCTGCTAATGAAATTTGATTATACCCTGCGTATCCATCCATTAAACTCAAAATCCGGTGTCCCACCGCAGAATCGATCAACATGTCTGCTATTGGCATGACATATTCATCTTTTGGAGTGGCGAGATTGAGATCTCTGAAGTCGATGCAAATTCGGATCTTTCCATTTTTTTGGTTACCGGAACGATATTGGCTAACCATTCCGCATATCGACATGGACGAATGAAACCAACCTTTAGTAGTTTCTCAATTTCTTTTTTGATCTGGGGCATCAATTCTTGACTCACCCTCCTTGGTGGTTGCTTGTAAGGCTTAAACCCCTTTTTAATAGGCAACCTATGTTCTATTAAACTGCGCGCCAATCCGGGCATTTCGGAATAATCCCATGCCAGACATTCCTTGTGATCTCGAATTAACGCTACCATTTGCTCCTGTTGAATTTTTGTCAGTAAACCACTTACCCTAACCATCTTGGGTATCTGTTTGGTTCCCACATTATATTCAACGAGGGGGTCCTGACTTGACAGAGAAGTTCCTGTCTTTTCTAGGAGATCAGGCCAGCGAAAACCTTCTTCTTCGCCAACATTATTGTTGGAAATTTTACGATTATGTAGTCTAACTATTAATTGGTTTAAATAGAACTTTCTAATCAGTTTATCACATTTATTTATTTCTTCCATAAATTAACTTCAAGTAAAGTTTATTTTGGCTAACAACAGAGCCATAAAAACATAAAATTGTTTCTAATGAAACATGCAACCCTGCGTAGTGAGCTTACAACCCTTCCAGGGATACTCATCTACCATGGTTGTCCGTGAAATAGGTGATATGTATTCCGTATATAGAACCGATTATTCCACTCCTTCTGTAGAGCTGAACGGATTCGTACTGGCTTCCATGGTGTAAACCTGATCTCCTTCCCAAAACGTAATTTGTTGATGGAGAGAAGAAGGCACACATTTGGAAGCGTGAATCCAATCTCGCCCCAACAAAACTGAGTAGGTAGTATTGGCATCCACAACAAAAAACACAGTCGAAATCACCTTCGGTCCAACCTCAATAGGCGCCACCATCATCCCTTCTGGCTTGGTCGATTTTCCTGTTAAGCTTGTCATCTCGATGTCTACCGGAGATAAATCACCAATCTCTTTACCCAATTTTCTTAAAGATTTGAGGGGCATGACATTAAAAACAGCCCCATTATCGATAAAAACCTTGTTAACCGGCTTACCACATATGTGAGCGTTAACATAGAGTGGTTTTAAATGCGGGATTGCCCCTTCTGGTATAGGTGGAAAAAACATAGGTGGGGGTCTGCCAACCATTGCTGCCCATTCTGGTTCTTCCTCCTCCTCGAACTTAGCCCAAATGGGTTCTTCTTCAACGAACCATCGTATATCCGTCATCCTGACCTCGAATCCTGCTTTATCAAGTTTTACTATCTTGCTGCGCAAAAATTTCGTCTCTTCTGGGGCAAATGATCCGAAAATAATCTCGGGGGTCTCTTCCTCTGCAATTTCTATTTCAGGATAAATATTGATCCGTTTGCAGAATTGACATCGAAAACATCTGGCCTTCTTGATCGGCTTGCTGCTCTCCCCTTGCTCCTCTGTTTCGTCATTCAAGTCCTTTCTTTTAGGTGATGATTCTTTCTTCTCCTTACCCTTATCTGTTTGCTTTCCATGCCGTGCTGCATACCTGCGTTTAGCATTACGGATTTGTGTGCGATTCATACCTGGAAATCGAGGGTCTATTTCTATTGGCAGAGGCTTTCTGTTTCGGCTCCATTTCTCTTGGACTAGATGTGGTTTGCGTGTTGGTCGGTCCCGTACCACGACTTTATCTTTCAATTTTACCTTGAACGACCCGTCTTCTCTATCCCATTTTTCTGCCACTCTAGTTTCGCAAACTTTGAACTTCACTTCCTGATTGGATTCTCATTCTTTAGGCTTGCGATCTTTTCGTCTGGTGTCTTCTTCGTCATCACTTTGCACAACTTGTGAAGACCGCAAAGAAATCATTGCAGTAGTTACTTTTAGGAAGGGCTGATGCTCTACTCCCATTGTTACATATTTGAATCTCCTTGCTTTGATAGCCTTTTGTATTTCCTTTCGGAAATGTGTGCATTGATTAGTGTAATGAGTAAAGGAATTATGCCACTTACAGTATGGCCTTTCCTTTATTTCCTCCTTCGTTGCCAAACTTTGCTCTTTAGAAATACGAATCTGCCCGTCTGCCAATAGAATATCGAAGATCTCGTCGGCCTTGGATACATCGAAAGTCGGCTGCTCCCTCTCCTCTGTTCCTGGCAATGGCTTTAGTTTCGAACATACGTACGGTTTGCCATTCACAATTTCGGCTGCCATCTCTTCAAGAATATTTCCTTCTTCTGGCGAATAAATCTCTGTATCAACACTTGTCATTTGTTGTACCCTGTTCCGACGAAAGTTGTGATCTTTTTCTCTGAACAAAGATTCTAATCTCCCTGCTTTGGAGGCCAAACTAGCCAAGTCCTGAACATCATGGGCTATCAATGCCTCCCGAAGTCTGGAATGCATGTTTCTGACCACCAAATTGGTCATTTCACTTTCTTCGATGATTGTCGGGCATCTGCCTTTCATGAGTCGTATCCGTTCAATAAACTGATACGCGGTCTCTTTTGGCATCTGTCTGATCTCTAAAAGATCTGTGAGTGAGACTGTTGGGAGAGGATTAAAAAATCTTGCATGGAATGCTGCCTCCAGGCTTTCCCAGGTTTGCAACTGCCCGGGTGGCAAATTTGCAAACCATGAAAAAACGGTCCTTGTAAGTGATAACCCGAACAATTGTAGTTTATAGAAAGAATTATTGCCTACTTCCCCTAATTGGGCC